GTATAAATGTGGTAATTGTTACATACATAGTGAATATAACCTTGTACATTTTAAAATGCTATACTTCATATATATATTTACTAAAAGTTTTCAGATGTTAATAAGTAAGAACATTGGTTGAAAAAGTTTGAAGGCAACCAGATAGCGACATTGATATCAGTACACAGTCATTGACTATTGAAATGAGCCAAATTGAGAGATACCTGTCTTCAGGTTCACAAGATAACTATGATCTATGGCTGCAGATGTTTAACATAAGCGCTTGATCTATGTGAAAAGTTGTTTTGTTGTTAACATCTAAAACCTGAATCTTAATAAATACTTTCCTTCCCTTGATTTTATTCAGTCTTCTCAAATTATGTTTGGTAAGCTATATTTTTCACTAACATAAAGAGTATCGTCTTTATTTTTTCAACTTTTATCTTTTCGATAACTTGTAAATGTACTAATGGCAGATCAGGCAACTTAACCTGACATACATCTGTACTAGATACTATGTTACTGATAACTTGGTTTACTTGGATATAACGAGATTAGTATCAATAATATTCACTCCTGACTAGCGCTCATGAATTACGAAGTAATTTTCGTTGACATCATATCATTACCGTAACACCTGAAAACTGACTGTGAAGCAAACCGTCCTCACAATGCATAAATTATGATTTGTTGTTTGTCATGATAGTCTGATTTACGTTAAAGTCACCGAATATTTATTAAAATTGTACCCACAGTACCGTGGATAAAAGAATAATTCTGCCTTTTAACAAAGATCTTATCTAGAAATGCACCGAATATTCTTATTTAGTATAAACATGTAATACATAGGCTTTTTCAATTCCTGATTAGCATGAAGTGATTACTATGAAACAAAAAAATCACTATGTTTCTAAACGGAATCTTTACATCGTTTTCCTAACTTGCGTTTAGCAATTTAAACTTAGCATTGTGTTTTACAGAGGTGATTTATTTAAATATTGTATCAAATCAATGACATTTGAACTGATCTTTTCAAATTTTTGTCACTTTCATAAATCGCCTATTTTTAAAAAATTGATTAAAGCTTCATTGGTGATTCTAGTAGCCCATTATCCTTACTTTGAATGAAATGTGAATGAACTTGAAAAACGAAACTAGTTATTTGCATCTAAATTAAACAAACCAAGCGTTAAATTTAAAAAGGTTTTCACCAAATATAATTTTTGCAAAGTACACAAATTAACATCATGAATAAAAGATGGCTGTGAATTATGACTTATGGCTACCATACCATATATATTTGATCCATAGATGATTTATTTTAAGTGAATACAGAATTGAATAGCACCAGTCAAATCGAATAGAATTAAACTACAATTTTTTGATGTGAGTCGATTCAATAAAATTAATGATGAGTATTGACAGGCAACCTCATTATGACATGGATCAATTGAAGTTACTCTTAACCACATCATCATTTTCGAAAGTCCCATCAACCAGTTTGTTAGAATAACTAACACATATGAAGTGTTAAACAGAAATGCACTTTACGTCACCAATCATAGTCTTGGTGCTCTTCCAGTATACTGTTGTTTAGTGGAAAATAATACATTCATGTTGATCCAATTTATTTGCCACTTCCTTAGGTTGCTTGCTTAATGAATGCAAACTTCATATGTAATTACGGTAATGGCAATAATAATATGATCTCTCAAAGTTAATAACAGTTAAAGTTTCTAGATTATCAAGAATCATGAAAATTCTTAAAATAATATCTGGATGTCTCAGTGTTTCAATACCAGCTTTTGGTTTTTCTTCTCGTTCCACCGTTTTTCCGACTCACTGACAAAACATTATTGTGATAAATGACTTAATAAATACGTCTAATTCATTCTGAGCAAATTGCTTGATAAAGGTGATAGTTATGAATTAGCTTGATACTAACACATTTTCGTGTCAATGTTAGTAAATACATTTCAGTTATTTTCATTAGCTATAAGCGAAATTGGTGCACATTTTGTTTCGGTTAACGAAACATTTAATTGTTTAACGTTACTGATCACCACAATGATTCTAATGCTTAGTAAATGTTGGTTACTTTACATCATGTAGCTCTAACTTTCAACCTTCTTTTTCTTACTTTATCTACCATTCATGAAAACAGTCCAGCGAAATAATGTATAAATGAAGGAAATATGTTAAGTTTATGTATACTTTTAGCATGTCATTAGTGATGATATCTGAATCGGATGAAGAATTGTCCATATTAAAATTCCATGGGGTGTTGATGGATTTATCGACTATCGAACGTCAAATGAGCACCCTTTTATTGTTCTGAGTTACATGTTACACTCTGTGAACTTTGATAAATCTAGCGTTGCATGCAAAATGTAACTACTGTTCATACGTTGCTTTCAGAATGAATATAAAATCATATTTTGGTACCAAGAATGGAAGCTGAAAAGTTGAGTCGGGATTCAGTCCATTCATTATGTCATTTATTATATCAAGGATACCTACTGAAACCAGTCTGTGTGTTACTTTTAAACTTCCTTTCTAAGGAATGAGTAACTAGTTCACGGAAGTCTAATAATTATCTCAATTATATCAAATCTTAACGTGTGATTGATCCGCTTCAACTTTGACCGAGTGATCCCCCTAAAAAAATCTGCATTATTAGGTGTGTGTTCAGCATACATATGCTACTGTTATTTCCATGTACTTTATATATTTACTCAGTTTATTCCTATCTTTTGTGATTACGTCAGGTTGGTATTTATTTTTTTTTACGGGCAACTAAATCTTTGTATTGGACTTATAGTCTTAGCTTTTAGGTTGATTACTTTCTAATTGATTTTTAAAGCATAATTTCGAAAATCTATCCTTAACATAACATAACCCTATTACATCTTGTTAATTTTGTTTTGAACACGACTGATCATTAAGAGCTAAATAATAACACTGCTGAAAAATTACAAAATTAACAAGACAGAATCACTATATCAGCGATGTCTCGTATAACTGTATCTTCCGTGAATATGTAAACAAGGGTTGAATAACTCTTCCTTAAATAAGAGTGATTAAGTATAGCGCGTTTTAATCTTATTTACTAAGAGTAAATTATTTTAAAGAAATCGAATCGAGCTATTCTAATATATGCTAATATCATGAAAAAAATAGGCATCAAACAAATATCTTTTCAAACATATCAGCATAACAATCAAGTACTTCCGATTTAGATTGATTAGTAAGATTGTTTATTTAATTCAGAAATTATAATTGAAGTTTGGAAACAACTTGTGTATTAGGCACCATAGGGTTCCTTTCTAAGACTCGGAGATCTAAGAATTACCAGGTCATCGCGGGTGGCCTGCGTGAATAACTGGGTTACTTGCCCCTGTTATCTAAATATTTCAACAACTTATCTAATTTTGTTTGTTTTAATGCATCACTAGGGCTACTAATCGCATAACCTATTCAGGTGCGTTTCTGAAAAGTGTACAACCTTTCGTTGTACAAGTTATAAAAGGCCCAATCAGAGATATCGTGGTTGCGCATTTAAATGTCGATTGACTGGACTGCTAACTTTTAACTGGCGATTACTCAATATTTATCTTCAGGATCAACCAAGAAGTAGGAAAAAAAACTTGTGCTGAGAATTCTCCATTGTACCAACAATATCGTATTGAATAAAGCTAATAATAATAAATAAATTAAAATATGGAATTTTGAGTATAATAATTTAAAAGTCAAGCGCCAATATTTTAACTGTTGAAAACAAAAATAACTGTTAATGGGAATTAGACATTACAAAAATGTTCAAATCATTTTACATGACTTTCTTTTCAGAAACTATTCTTTGTCATCTTCCTAGTATCATCTGCTTCATTTGAACTCGATCTGTTTTACAATTTATGTTTGATAAATAATGAAATTACAGATTGTAACCTAATATATGCAGATCGAAAAAATACTTTTCATTAAAGAAAATTTTAATTTTTGAGTAATTTGAATGTTTGTTTGCTTTGTTTAACATTATTTTCTTCATTTAGGCCGTCTTCAACGATATAATACAACTATGATAAAGACTAATAATGTCCCTACTTTGTAATTTCACATTTATGTTAATGTGCTATCAAAAACTTAATTTGTATTACTAAATGAATTGATTCACTCAAGATTTACCACTGCACTACTGCTTACTGAGTTTTATTAACCGATTGAAAACGTTCTGCAGCAATAGGAGTTAGGATTTTTCTCAGCCTAAATATCAAGTTCAACCTTGATAGTCGAAGCGTATAACAGATCAAAACTTAAAACGATAAGCTATGTCTGTTACTACCGAATCTTCTCGCCATATATCGATCAACGTTGAATTTATAACAAATCAGAACTATATCTTTTTGAAGAAATAAAAACCTTCATAAGGAATTATATTTGCGGTTAAATGTTGAACTTTTCAAGTAAAAAATATCTCCGCTTATACGGAGCTGATTAGTTCGCATAGGTTGATCAAACAAATATTGTCGTAAAAAGCTTTGTTTTAAAAGCTTTTAAAAGCCAACTTAGATTACTTTACTTTATTTTAAGCCCAACTGATAAAGTTTAGATAATGTTGAATGACCTAATGATAGTGAAGGGGTTAATATTCGTAGGCTTTGTTATAACTTTCGAAATTTCTCTGTCATGTCTTATTCAAAGAGTCTCTTAATCGTTGGTATGTTTGTCATAATTAAATTAATTCTGAAATCATAATATGATTCCGAATGAAAATATTGAACTCCATTATTTTATATTATTGACTGCAAGATATACAATAAATCATCGCTCTATTTTGATAATCATTCTTAATCTTGACTTGACTATCCATCATAATATGAAGTATTTAGTAAGTCAATATAGTCTGATTATTATTTTTAGTATGAATTTTCTTTTTATTATTCAACAAAATAATGTCTATTATGGTATAAATCTCATACACACTCATATGTAGTTCTATATTTCTCTCTTTATTACGATAGAAATCATTTGCAACGTGTCGTTTCAATGTTTTATTGCTTTCTAATATTTGCTATTGGTTTATCTATTACACTTTACAATACCGGAGAAAAAGAAGCTGAAACTGAAAATTCATTTGTTGTAAGTTATCTTGTTATTATCATTATTACTTTATTCATTAATGTTAGTTTATTATATACACTTTCTTCTGAATAAAATACACAATAATACAAATATCATACTAGGTCAGCATTAAAATTTTGAATATGGCAAAGAAGATGTTGAAAGTATACACATGTAAATGAGAATAATGGTACAGTCTATGTAATAGCGTTTGCTGATAAAGGGGTTATTAACAAAACTATAAATATCTTTGTAATAATATGTATTATAGATCAGGTTATAACTTCGTATTAACTATTAAATTCTGTACAAATAACTCTCCATCCAGTATTCACTTTGGTCTACTGTAAACATATAGACCCAAAATAATATTTTTGTTTGAAAAAGTAAAAGTATTTCTTATATCATTAGTAGCTTATTCTAATTAAATTTACAGGTTTATTGCTATCGTAATTATCTAACGATCTTCCCCAATAAGTTTGTTATCGGTATTATATAATACGTGATGCAATATTGTATTATAATATTCATAATAATAATAAATATATTTGCTTCTGAATGTCCATCATTGGTTTAACTACATTATTCCCGCACTGAATTTAGAATTATTTTAGAATTCATCATATTCATTAGACAATTTATTGATTGATTGACTGTCTGACCGAACAAAACGTTCTGATGTTTTCACAGTTCAGCATAACTTAAAGTACATACATTCAATATCCCGTGACATGCAGTCGACTTGATGCTTCATAAGTTATTGCAGATTTGGTTAGGTTAAAGCCATAAACTTAATTGAACATATGAAAAATTAACTATATATAAGGAATTTTTAGAACACTTTTATTTTTCAGCATTTGTTACGAAACTTAGAACCAATAACTAGGGGTTAACAGTATTAATGTCTAGTAGGAAACTTCAACTTTAAAGAACTTCTGTCCTATGCAGTAACTTGAAGCCAAGAAACTTTCTATTATATTTAATATTGGGTAACTGCATTATTGTATCATATATATATATCAAGATGTATATATTTTGGAGCTACCGTGTGCTCATCATCGTTGCACCTGCACATCTACTTTTTATCATACTTCCCTTAAAAATGCTTGATCTCTTAAAAAGGTCTTGATAATTGTAGTAACCAACCTTTCCGTTACTAAGTTTACTTGTAATCATACTTTCAAAATAATTATCAATGCATCTGTTCACCAATAACTTGTTCCACTTTTTTCAGTAAACTACGCGATGAAGTTGTTCTGTACCATAAAAATCGATAACTCAAAATATATTAAAAAAGCTGGTGATTAATATGCACATATAGAGTAAATGTTTGTTATTTAGCGTCTAATATTTAGCATCTAATATTTATGGAAATTGGTTTCTTACAAACAAAACAAATTGAAAAACAGCTTTGTGTGGTCTAAATGTGCATCTAATAAACTTTTTTTGTTATCTTCTCGATAACTGAAATGTATGCTGCTCGATCGCTGTTAATTGTTAATTAATATATTAAAAGTATATACACGTCTTCGTGATTTATCTATCCTATCTCCGGGAGTCATTAATGTGAGAACACTTTACAAAGAGATGGTTGTTATTATTGTTGAATATGATAAATGCATTTGATGTATGTGGATCACTAGAGTTAATCTCTTGTTTTATCCAACTACATTGACTTGTTTTGGCAAATAACACTCTTCATTTATAAAAAGTATCACTCTTTAAGGAGAATATACAAATATATAATTAACGCTATTAAGGTAATTGAAAACAAAGTCTTTTATCACTATTTATTTCTCTTATTTGTATGAAACTTCAGTGGCTTTGTTATACGGAAAAACTGTGCATTAGAACCATTTAACCTATAATACACCTACGTTGTTATATTTTCAACACAAACCAATTTTGTATCGCACATGAACCGATTATGATTTTTAACAAAACCGTTATATATTGGAAGTGTTTTATAAAAGACGGAATTTATGGCCTGGAATTAGGACATGCCAAATAGTTTAGGGTCGATTTTCTAACTGATAGTGAAATTCAAAAGCTGACCAGGTATAAACTGAAAAACTCTATTGGTATAAACCATTTTTGCATCGGTAACTGGAAATATACTGCAGATTAAATAGCTCAGTAGTATGAAGATAGCTAAAATAAAATCTAGAGAACCTAAATCTTGCAAAGATGGATAGTGGCTATCAGTGGAATCCAGGACGCGTGTTTCGTCCTGTTTGGGACTCGTCAGCTGGATGTACCTGCATCTCAGAGTTGATGTTCACCCTGGGACTCTAACTTAGTACCGTTCGCTTCAAGCCCCATCGCGTTATCCACTTAGCTACTGAGTTCTGATAGCCACTTGCTTGTGCAATCAGGTGAAGTTTAATTCACTTGGTATTGTTTTACTTGAATCTTCCCATTGATGTTTTACGACTGAAATTGATCAGTCTCTTATTGGCATATGTGCATACTGTGTGTATGCCTCGATATTGCCTTAATTTAAAAGTATTATAAGCAAAGATAGATAGTGTACATATGCCAATAAGAGACTGATCAATTTCAGTCCTAAAGCATCATTGGGAAGATTCAAGTAAAACAATACCAAGTGAATAAAACCCAAATCTTGGTTTTAATTTCTTTTAGGAATAATTTTACCTCAAGTTTCTGTAAATGGTAAAGACCATAAACGACTAGTTAATGTTTGCAACATTGTTTATTATTAACCTAAAAAAGTATCATGATTGACAAATCTGAGTCATAGCAAGCTCAGCTGAATACTTTATGTATTAAGAAGTAATGAGATAAAAGGGAATAACTTCATATGAATTCCCTACAAACAAATTCTAAATTACATTAATCAGTCACATTGTAGAAGCTAGTTTCATGTTTTTTTTAGTTCTTGAAAGCGATTAAATTTTATCAGACAAGTTACCATGTGGCCATTAGTCCAGGTGATTTGACATCATATGCAGTTTGTTTAGGCGGTTGGAGGTAGTTTATAGGAAACTTTTCAGGAAGGAGTTACTATGACCTTAATGGGATTAACATTACCTACAGGATTCAACCCCATATCATGTAGCCGCAAAATCTTGGATGTAAGCTATTCGGGATGTAACTAACTGACAAAAAATTTCAAATATTTCCATAGACGACTATAGTCACGAAGGAAATTTCTAACCTAATTGTTGTAACATGTTTCTTTCGCTAAGAATTAATATGTCGGTCAATACTATCTGATGACAGAAACCATAGCATTCTCTGAACACACACAAGAGGAAATGCTACACACACATTCCAAGAGACGTTATTCTGGATAACTATTACTTTATAACCTTTAGGCTATCAGACAAAGGTTGCAGTAACACAAAATCTGCACCCAATTATGTGTATTCTGATTTTAAGTGGTGGAAAACAGAAACTATCTACCAGAGTATCAGCAAATTCAGTAGGCCAAAAACAACTATCATTAGTATGAACATTGATTGACCTCATTTCCGAACTTACTTTTCTAGTAGATATTTATTACACTGAAAATTAACGAGCTACAAAATTCTAGAGTCTATCAAAGATAAGCTACATCGTTTCAACAATATTTACTACAGTATGATGTCCAGGCGAAAGACAAACTTAATAACTTTGACCGAAACGTAAACACACCATTCGAATTCGGTGGAACACATACAGTCTTTCTACTCATGTATTACGTTAATTCATAACATAACGAAAATTTGGATGGTAACGTAAAACGAATAATCATACTTAGAGTAACAGAATCAAAAATACTAGTTACCTATAAGGCTTTAAATGAACGAAAGCGAAACATTTTAAAACGACTTAATTTTTATATATGAATGTGTTTGTGGTTCATCTGGTAGTTTAGATTAATGGCAATAAGTATTTCACATTTAATACGAAACAGATCGATACACATAACCAGTGATTCTGAAGCCTATGAATTCGGCATACTGCAAGTTTGGAAAATAACGAGTATGTTCATAAAAACCATGAAGCCTAGTTATTTTGTCTAAGGCAAAGGGATGATAAACGAAAGTGTATTGGAGCTTGCATCGCTCGTTAAAATAATAAAATCCCAACAATACCTATTCATGTTTTACTGGCATCACAGTAAAGTTATCAGTAACTTTTGACCTTTATACAAAATCTTATTTGATGTATCGTGGTAATATTCTATGTCGTCTGGACACATTGTGAATGCATCCAGTCTTTTTACTTATACCGGAGACGGTAGAGAATGTGGTATATGACACAAAAGTATCAAATGAGATCAACACTATTCCTCTAATAAGACACGATACAAAGAAGCTTTAGAATTAGCCTTTAAAAGTATTGTGATTGGAGAACCAAACTTGTGAATAAGATAAAGAATAATTCACCAAGTAAAAAGCTTAGAATATAGTACATGATGTAAAATTTACAAAAGACAATTCAGATACGCTTATCATAATATGTTAAGATTGTTTAAATGACACATATTACAATAATGGATCATTGATTAACTGAAACTTTAACACCATTTTTATGTGACACTTTACTCCATCTTTATTTCAAATAGCAGTTTAAAAGCAAATAATTGGATATATTTATAGTCTTAAAACTTGGATGACTGACCATTCTACTTATTGTCAGCAAATATTGCTCCAAAATTTCCCTAGGTTTAAAATAACACTAAAGTCTAGTTTGTTTCGTTATTTTCCTATAATTTAGTGTACAACTATTTATGTCAAATATGATTAATTGATCCTTTTGATATAAGAATGAAGTTTAAGAAAACCTTGATGATCATAATATTCCGACTAAACGCTAAAGATGACGTCTACAGTTTTAGTCATCAGGTCTAAAATTAAAATGTAGAAATTTTGTGAAAATAGCATAAAGGAGCTCACATTTTATCGAAATAACCAATTTATTTTTTTACTTTTCCTTACATTTTTTTAGTCATTTTATACCATAATGTTTGTCAGTTCTATCATTGTTATGATTTTTACACTGGGCTACGTGTATCGACATCGCAATGCTAGTTTGGAAGCAATCGAAAAAGGGGAGTTATCAGCTCCTAGAATAGCCTTCTCATTTCGTGGAGAAGATGTAAACTTGTATCTGCGTTTCGGAATTGGATGTGAGTTTTAGTCAGTGCTGTATTCATTAATTACTTTACCCTCTCATTATCCTTACCACTTATTTCTATTCGTAAGTAAGTGAAGCGATGGTGTTTTTTATGATGAACACCTAAACTGAAGTTATACAAATATTCTTTAATTTAATATGCATTAAAAACCATAAACCATTATATATATATAATGTCCATGTAAGGGAAACCGGGTTATAGATGGAATATGATTATAGAATATAAATTGACAGTGTGAAAAATTTATACTTTGGTGAGTTAGTGACTATTTATTCGTTTAAGCATTAACTTGAATCACGTCTCGTTATATTTTTCAACCGAAAATGCAATTCAAATAAAACTTTACATCTTAAATTTTATACTGATTATATGGTTTTTACAACTAGTTATTAAATGATAATTTTGCCATGATCATTATCGGTTACATCTAAGCTTCTATAGTTTTTGACACAAATAAATTGTTATACATTCTTAACTTAATAAGATCTATTTTATGGTTGATTTGAGGCTCTCAAAGACGTTTACAATGAACCATTATAAAATGAAGGTTTTTTTAGTTCAACTTATTTTGGAGTAGTAACATTATTCAATGCATGGTCTGGAAAATATTTTCGAAGCTGGCCGATTTATTATCTATTTATAGGTATTTTAGCTAAATATTTGTGTTGAACGAATTCCATAATAGTTGTTAATTATGTCAAACATGAAGTTAACATTTCTTAGTTAAGCAGTTATTTACTTTAGTACTAACCATGAGTTACAAAATACATACAAAAAGTAATTTTAGATTCTGGGGACGATAACTAAATACTAACAATCATACGCTGCAATACATTGTTAGGTTTCAATCGACTATATAACTGTAAATTACTATATGTTTGTGTAGATGCACAGTCAGTCGTTTGAGTTCTTATGAACAGTGTGATAAAGCAGCGGTTACGCAAAAACTTATTGATTAGCACAACCTCTAATGAATTATTATCAAAAGACAGAACATCTTGTGTACAAATGTGAAATCTTTTATATAACAAGAATAGCCGTATTTCTTTCATCATTAGTCAAAGTTAAATATAGTCAGTTTTTTGTTTAAGTGATAACCCAGTCAATTGTGACGCGCTAATTAAGAATAAACTCGTCTATATATCTTCAGATGTCACTAAATTAATTTATGGGTATGACATTTCCAGAATGAAAGCAACTAGAAACATAACCTAAACTGTTCAGCTTATTCATGAATGGAGTTTGAAGTGGATGGAAGTAATAATTACCTATCAGTCATTCATTTTATTGGAGAGTGATAAGTCAATATAACTTTAAAGTTTTTGTCAGTGAGAATTGGAATTAACTCTCGAAAAACCAGTATGTTTTCCTTTGGTTATCGGATAAAATCGGAAGATATATATTATTTCATTTAATCAATCTAGCCTGTGCATTAACACGACTTTAGACACAATTTTAGACAATGGAACATGATCTCGCAATATCATAGATTGACTAAGGTTAGATATTAATAGCGTTGGATACCGTCTCACTGGTCTAGTGACTGAACGCTCGCACGCGATACCGAAAGTCCTGGATTCGATTTTCGCGTACGAAATCATGGATAGGAATTGCTGTGGAGCCCATACTATGGCGAAATGGCCGTCTAGTCTTTCCTTGTTTTCGAAGGCTGTCTAACTTGGATCAGTTCGTGATTTTAATGAAATCCAACAATTTCCACAACACCATACTGAAAATCTTTGGATGATTGGATGAGGAGGAAAATAAATCGCTTTTAAGACTCGGACACCTTCTGGCATTTTTTATCAATATTACACCGGATCTGGTTCACGAATCTTTTTAACTTTTTACCCATAATGTTGTTATTCGTTGTGTTTATCATTTAATTTTTGCTACAACTCGCCAAACGTATTTGAATAAATCAATTATTCTATTGACCAGTCCAACCATATTGAATTCATAAGTCCTCCATTCGCTCTTGACAAAAATCTTCACTCAAATTGTATGAAAGCGTGACAGGCATACAGCAGATCTCCACAAAAGTAAACACATCGAAAACACTGTATAATATTTCTTATTGGGGCCAATATACGAGTTGTTGAAATAGCGTTACTTATGATAAAGATTTTGAAGACAGTGACTCAGTAAACAAACCTCTCAGGGTTTGCACTCAGTTTGTACTCCCGAAAAGAAAGAAATTCATTTTATCCCATTAGTTATCTTCAACCTAAAACTAAACTCATAAGTTAAAATTATTATTTAATTGTTTAGTTTGAAAGTACCCGTGTACAAAACGAATAATATGATATTAATATAAACCGCTTTTATAATCTGAGATAACAGTAGCTAGTAGTGGGATCCAGGACGCGCGTTCCGTCCAATTTGGGGCTCATCAGCCGGATGTACCTGCATCCCGGAGTTGATGTTGTTTACGTTGTCATCAAAAACATTTTTTGAGTTGAAAATAACCTCCTTGTAACTTATCATAAATTCGTTGAGAACAGCAACATGATCTTCATGAACCTTGTGTTCTTTCAAAAATTCCATGGTGAAGAATGAGGAAACCGTGTAAAAGCTGATCAATGACTTTCGCAAGATCAATACTACATTTATATATTTTTGATACATACATGGGACTGTTGTTCCTATGAGACCGTTAGTATTTACGGTCACTTAAAGCTTATATACGTTCATAGTTTAAAAGATTTCCCTTAATTTGCACTTATGTTAAAAAAATCATTTATTATTCATCTACAACTTATTTTTACTTACCACGATCTCACAACGAAAAACTACACGAATCATAGAGAAAACACTGATCTTTTCCTCTTAACAAAAACAAATTAAATTATATCTCACCAATACTTTCCAACAATCACCTTAGCTTATACAAAATGGTCTTTGGAAATGCTGTTAGAAACCAGTCATATGTTATGATCTCAGAGGTTTTTATCAGAAACTTAGTAGAAACACAGGTCAAGCCGATGGTAAGAACGTAGATTTGATACTTGAAGCAACTATCGGCATGTTCCCGGTACATTGAATGATTTCAATAAGACATACCTCAGAACATGGAAACCCATGGCACGTCATCAGGTTTTAATTAATTGTTATCTACTTAATAGTAATGAAAGGACTTTATGTTATTATAAAAACACACTTGCAGTGGAATTTAATCAAAAGGCTTCTCCCTACATTGAACAGACTGGTCCCTAAAATAGTCAAAATTGCACATGACCTAACTGTTTAATCTCTAGTTTGCTCATGGGTTAACATGTACATTTCAAACCACACACATCAGAAAAATAAAGAGAATTAATATTTCTTCATCCTATTACATCCCATAGAACTTGAAACTCAAATTCCTCAGCTAATCAACTATGCAGTCACACGTCTTATGACTTTTGGGGAATTAAATGTTCGGGTCTGAAAATCACTTAAGATGTTCAATAAGTAAGCTAGCTAGAACTTATCAAGCTTCAAAAAAATCCACTTTTTGTTAATTTATTCATTTGTTTTGAATTTAGACTGGCTTATTTTTTATTTTCTGAAGTTTTCGATTTCTCTAGTGATCACAGATTTATAGCTTCTTGGTATTCAACTTACTGAATTGATGACGATTGGCACTGATTCACTGTTTCATAAGTTTATGAAAATTAACATGAAAAGGAAGTTCACACTGAACGAACAAAAGATTGATTAATTTCATAATAAATTTCGTTTTGCTTTATGTGACTCAAAACCGTTAGACAACTAAAATCGAATATAGCTTCAGACATTTAGTTACAGTATGCTGATAATCGATATTTTATTTTTGGCATTTATTAGGTGTGTCACTATCTGTCCGGAACTTCTTTATATCAATAATAACCAGATGATACACTGACAATATTATCATCTCTTTTTTAATTTACCAAACCAATAAAAAACTGAAATACACTCTTAACTCCTTTGACTTCAATATCATTTGATCAGAACATAACAACACGTACACTCCGACAACATTTAGAAACATGAACTTTTTAGATTTAATTTAATATTCAAACAAAGCAAGAGCAACAAGGTTCACAGAATAAAATGAACCCATCATTCTATTTCACGGTTACTCATCAGTTAGATAAAATTAATAATATGAACCTGATTATTAATAAATGTTTAGCATACTTTGGGTTGTAATAATTCAGTGGTTATATAAAGGTAATGTAGTTAACAAGTGATTGGGTCATCGCTCAACATGATAAAATAAACAAATATATGAACATCAGTCAGATTATGTTAGAGATGAATATCAGAAGACGAAAAAATAATCAGAATAAATAGGTCGTGGACAGGGTTGAAAAAAGTTTGAAATTAACAAAGGTTATTAGACAAATATCCAATCACCATTGCAGGGAAAGGTAAATCAAACTTTCCGTTTGTATACAGAGGTTAGGTCGGAAACGTTTGATAGCTATCACCTTTGCAAAATTGTGTAAGATTGATATTTGATGTCCGTTGATTATTCTGAATGCATCACTTACATTCACTTCATACCTACTAGTCATAAGATGTCTGACAATTGCTCTTGTAAATACTTTACTCTCTTTTAGACGTAGGTCCCCGAAAATGTGTTCACGAAACCTTTTAGAGGTCCTTCTCTCTGTCCTTCCTATGTATTTGCTACCGCAGTACATTTACGTCAATAAATGCAACTGGTGGTGATGTCAGAAGGGTAACGATCTACCTTTGAATGATATAAAGAACACTTGGTGTTGTGGGTATTAATGCCAAGATTGGAATTGATAGTTTTAAATAAATTTGGCATTCGGTAGAAAGTTAATAATAAATATATTTTTTGTTATACCCCAATTAAGTGAAAAAAATTTTATTCATTGGGATAGAACAAAAAATTATATTTATTATTAACTTGGTGTTGTATTGTGAAACCAAATGAGCTGAAGGGAATCTTCTTTTCAGCTTCGCTTTGACACTCCTATTGGTTCATCCTGAAGTCGTTTCTTTCTTGAACGGAGGGCGGATGACGATAGGTTTCTTTCCAACAGTTGGTTGTTTCTTTTGGATTCATTATTACAACACCGAAGCCTTTATTTGGACTTACTACAATCATCTTATCATTTTTTTGTAAACTCTTCAGTGCTGACATAAATTCCTTTGTTAAGCGTTTTGAATGTGGAATTGTGGAAATATAGCACTGATTTCTAATATCAACCACTTTTGAGCGAAACCAACCTTTTCTGTCCTCTTACGTACGTTTAAAGTCAGTAATTTCGTACAGGCTCACGAACTCCATTTGTATGTTAAATTTTGACATTTTTTATATCAACATGGGATTTAAATTCAGGAGAGCGACCTTGACTTTCAACTTTGTTAACCTCCATACTTGACAAATTATGAATATATTTTTAGGAAAGTTCAGGTAATTCTTCATGTATTATTTCTGTCACTAGGAGTTTCAGTAGTATATTCTCAAAAGAACTGGGTGTGTTACATTGTTGCTCTAGGGTGAATTTCATTAATTTAATTTGATAGGTAATGTTTAGATTATTAATGAACTTGTAGAATAGAAACACTTCGGATTTCATAGATAAAATATACCTGATAGATCACTCGATATGAGATTAGGTTATTCGATGAAGATTCTTTTGTAGAAGTGGACATTTGGTTGAGCGAAGTATCTTGGAGAATTAACAGAGAATGTAATTGGTTTCCAAAAAGTATTCAAATAACTTCACTCTTGTCGACTCTCGTGATATTCTTCAACGACATGTCACAAATTGGTTCGGTGACTTGATTGACTTTCAGAAAGGCTTTTTTTCAAAAATCGCATACAACCAAATCCTTTGATAAATTTAAGAGCAGCAAGAATTATAAGGTTGGCAGAATGAAATAAATTCATTCTAGTTTACGGTTTCTCATTAGCTGCATACAACTTTGGCTTGTGAAGTTTAGATAAATGTTCGGAACGTAACGGAAATCATAATAAACAGAACTTACTATTGCCTTTAATATTATTGTGTTGTATTTAGTCTACGGTACAAAAATCTGAACTAACTTTTTTAAAGATGCCCTATTAAATGTCAAATTTGTAAAGTGAATAATGTGAGACTATTATTACTTGACTATCTAATAAGAATTTGAGAATTCATTAAACTGAAGATTACTTAGGTTAGGATGATATTCTTAGTTCATGTCAGTGTTGATTTTCTTGAGATAAATAGATGTTGTTTAGACAAACATGATGCACGTATCACATTCAAATTTCGTGATTATCTTCTTTCATTTAATCATTTGGAACAACTACGCATAATTTGTTATTTCCCAGTCTATTACTGAAGTGCGTATGGGTACCAATGCCATACGTCAAGCTCTCGAATTCACTGGTTGCATTTTTTTATTATTTTACATTGTTTTTTTTCGGTTTAGATCTTTCGGTCGACAATGATATTCCGATAACAATGAAAATTCAAATCATTTTATATGATAATTTTAATCTTCAACTTAAAAATAGAGGCTTCATTTTCGTTTTCAATCTAACTGCTCATAAAATATGTATGCCTTAAAAACTAATGTTCGGTTCTTGTGGAGTCTCTACATTTTAATACTTAAACTAAGGAGGAATACTACAAAATTCAATCGCAATCTTATATTCTCGTTTATAGTCAACACTATTTCATTTTCCTGTTTTAAACAACGAATCAATTAAATTGTTGGCTTTTTACAAATAGGGTGAGAAATTATTTACACTGGCAGAAGTTTTATTTCTAAATTCATACTATCTAATGAACCGATTCATTAATAATTCACCTTCTTTCGAAGTTAATCTTGAATAACTTTCAGGAACTTTCATCAAGTCCACTAACTCTTCCGATTATTTGTAACTCTTAGCACATGGAACGACTCGGGCTTTGGAAATCATTTACAGGAAACATTTTTTCCAGGAGACAATTTGATTTCAGTATTAGTCAACTGTTTTTCCGAAATTTTAGATTAATCTCTCACTTCTATTTTGAAGTTTTACTCAAACTTCCTAATTCATTACCAAAGAGCGTTACTAAACACTACTACTGTTCTTTTAAATTTTTATGATACTAAGTTAACATCTAATTAGCATCTGAGAAGACAATTGTGAATAACCTCACTATAAAGTACTTTATTTAGAATGAAAATAATATAAAAACGTACCTGTAGTAAATGTATTTAAAAGGAACAATAACTAAAAACCTCTTAAAAGTTTACTAGACATTGTTTTGATGTTTGTTATCAAGTACAGAGTTTTTCCGGGTTTTTATAAAACCTTTTAAACAAGTAATGTAACTAAAAAAACTATGTAAGATGCAGTTGGACCCACTGAATTTGGAGGACATCATCATATATGAAATGCTACCCATTTGTACCGACTTATTCGTCCTATCTTCGTTTTCGTTACCTAAAACAACCAGGGAATTCACCTGAAGGTAAAGTCTTCAAATTTCTCATCGTTTTACGTTTATCGTTTACGTAAAAATATGTTTAATTCAGTAGACATAAAGTTTACATGACAAAATAACGTCAGCTAGACTACCATTGAAAACCAGTTAACATTGGCTAGCAGTTTGATCCTAGTCAAAGACAAGCCAGAAGTAACCATTCACGACTCCGTCAACTGTCGAACCCAGGACTCTTAGGTCTCTTAGAGAGTCATTAACATTCTAACCCTTGAGTTGGTACGTAACTGTTTAGATTTCTGGCTTCAATCGATTCTCGCTACTGCACAACCATTTTAGAACGTCATTGGTGAATGATTGTCTCACATTCGATATCGTTGAACTCTACAATTTATGGTTTCTTACCAGAGTTGACTGAAGTAAGAAATAAATATGTATTGCTCGTCCTGAGACATAAACGTCCTGGGCTCGGTCCTTGGCAGGATCGTGGATGCTCACTGCTGACAAGTTCATACTAGGACGAAACAGCAGTTCAAAACATTCCTGGTTTTCACTGGTTGTCAGTTCGTATTGTAAATTGTTAAAAACAACAGTTTTCACAAGTTCCGTACACTATCAGTGAATATAATTAAGCACAAGTTAATGTCTTGTAGAAAACCAGTTTACGCTAAAAGACACTATGCATTTAATTTTTTGAACTGGTAATTTTAGATACAAGCATAACCCTACTTTTAACAATGTTGAATTCACGCCTTCACATTTTTCTCCAAGCATATAAACGTTCAGGTTTAATGATGTTATCGGTTCGAAGTGGGGACTAGATAAAACGACTGGCTACAATAATCTTTTTTAATAGCTTTCAGCTAATGTTAGTTCTTTTGGAAAACTACCCGACATAATCCATTCAGCAAATGCTTACAAGTAAAAGAAGACATTTTACATAATAAATCAGTGCAAAAATAATATTCCCGGCTTCGCATTTAGTTCATAAGTTGAGTGACTGGCAAAAAGCTTGCTTATTCTAAACCAATCAACTTAGGTGAAATCAAACCTTCAAACATAAGTCCATGCAAATGTTTCTAGGTTTATGCCTAGTTTTATGCTATTTATAATGAGTTTGAAACAATCATTTTCTACTACACTTAATGTATGTATTCTGTTACTAACTTTACTTTCATTTATACCTAGTGTTTGCAGCCATGTCCATCGTACATTCAGCTACAAGATGTTACGAAATTGCAAAGAAATATCCGTTACATTCGGCTTCTATTATTTACATATTTTTCAAAATTCTGTTCTTTATCACTCAGACCGTATTTTTGCTACTTTTACATCGTGTAAGTTCCCAATTTTTGTATAAAAACAACTATGTATTTATTTGTAATGAAAACATATTTCTCGCAAAAAAAATCTGTCCATTTCAGATAAAGATAGTGTGAATTATTTTTAAATTATAATTCATCTGATGCGTCGAAGATCACAGATGGATACAGATGTGAAGTTAATGTCAACATATGTTGTAGTACATATACGTATAATTTCCTTTCTCAGTGATTAATAAACAAATCAAAGGAAAAACACAGCGTAAATAAAAGGCTCATTTTATCACTTAGGGATGATGTTCTGAAGACTTTATTAGGTTTAAAGTTTCTTTCCTTGCTAACTGATATCAAATGAAAGACCATTAAAATTCATCTACACTGATCAGATGTTTCCCTCTAGAATGCGACTCAACAACATCACATATGTTCTCTCCCGCATAATTTAGAACAAAAAGCTTCTTGGTTGTCGAAAAGTATAACAAAATTCAATCACCCATTCAAAATCCAGAGTGTTCGCAGTAAATTATTCACGATCGGTTAGTTACAGTCATTTATTGCAATTAATGAGAAATTATAATGGGTGAATACTACTGGTTACCATATTTCTTCATTGTTTCCTTTATTAATAATAATGAACAATGATAACGTGAAATCATTAAAAGAAATATTTGACCCCCTTTTAAAAGGAGTTTCAGTTATCCGCAGATATTATAAGTGTTCCTCGTACCCAGTATCTACTATACAGAGTAAACCATTGTTTTGTTTATTCACATCATTTTAGTGATCTCCTAATCCAGTCTATTGGTATTATCTAAATGAGAAAATGAATAATGTAATAAGTAGTATATTGCTATAATTTATGGAATTTCTATTGGTAAATTTATATTGAAATACGAAATGTTTAAGTCATCAAGATTGATTCATTCTCGGATGTACTAATCAGTCTAATTTGGTCGGCTCTGTGTTTAACATATATCTTAGTAATTGAGACCGAAATAAAAGATTGTGTGACCATTAATTTGGTACCTTTTAGACGTACACACTAGCAACTGATATTACTTGAAGTAATTGAAAAAAAAATCCGTTTATACATAAACACAAGACTAGATACTGAATTTTCGGTTTAGAAATCGCGAGAATATTTAATTTGGACGCTTTTTAGAATTTTTTCAAAGACATGACTCAATTAAAAATATAGAATCCTTGATGTACGGACGCACTATGACAAGATAGCTGGTAAATTAAAAAGTAATCCAAATATATCAGGTGGCTAGGGTTTGGATTGGTGGTTCTAAGAATTTGGTTACTCTTAGTATATGCTCAATTGAACCAACGTAACTAATAACCACATCTATAATGTTAGGCATAATGCTCCTTCATGATTTTTAGTAGTAATATACACATGTATATCGTTCATTCACATAAATCCATCAAATGCGAACCTGTTTATCTTGTTTCCCTTAAGATTTCATCATTTAAATATAACACTATTTAAAGTCCGAACTGTCCAACTGTTATTCGTTCCATGCATGAGCATAATTACTTCTAAAAAGATCAATAATCTTTAATGAATATTTATGAAGGAATTCAATTAGAAACCTTGATATATAAAACATTTTGATGTCACGGTTCTTTTTCTACCTGTTGTAATCCTTACTTTGGAAAAATAAGTTGTTTGAAAAAAAATAAAATGGAAATCATAGCCAACATGGGACAGTTAACAAAACAAACCCAGTCAGTAACATGGATAATAAATAGAAACCCCACTTGTCTCAGTAAAATGTCCGTTACTTTATCCGTATATACATTTTTATCAGAATTACTGGAAGTCTAGTAAATCTCTTGTTTTTTACAAAAACATCCCTTCAGGTGACTTGACTGATAAATATTTTGCTTATGCTCTAGGAGACTTGGTAGATATTCATCTGTTAAGGTGAGAGAATTGATTTATTATATTTTTGTGGATAAATTACTTATTATAAAAGCCATATATTTACTACGGTTAAACACTTTATAATGAGGTAATAGAAATTTTCGTTTACTGAAATTAGATTCGCAAAAAACAGTTCCGTAACTTGGTCACCAACTAATAAAGTGAAGACAAAATTCTGTGAATCAGAAGGATCATTTACACTTTTTGATTATGAGATTGTCCTACATACAACTATATATTAAACTTGTTTATTGGATCTTTATTTCATAATCCTTTTCTTAACTGGGTTGTTATGAATCAAAATCCAGATATCTCTAAGGAATCACACTTATTTCTCTCCACTATAACACGTGTACAGCTTGAACAGCAGTATATAACTGAAGATTCACAGTGACGGTTAGTTTTGCGTTACTTCATTCACAGTAGATAACGTTTTATTTAATGAATGGGGGGATTTTTGTTCATAAATGAAAGGGAAACGTGTTTCTAACTTTCTTTTCAACCAACATGTAGCTATAATGAACGATAAGCTTTGATATTTAGATCAGATATCTATTTCAAATTTAATCCTTCCTGTTATCATATAACAAACAAACACAATTATGTTTGTTTGTCAAATGATAACAGTAAAGACTAAAAACCAAACGACTGAATTGTACAATAAATCCAATACCCTTAAGAGTTTGTTTCTTCACGTTTAAACAAAACAGAAAATGCCATTTTACTAATAATGTATAAATGAATTTTGTCTTTTTAGCATTTTTTCCAATGTTTCATTTTTACAGATAGTAATTCTTGTGAGAATACGCATCTTCAGTTTTATACTACTACACATTCTAACAGTGAATCTGTGCATCTGGTCAGATGCTGTTATTAAAAAAATATCTAAGAGTATTGGAACTTTGGCAGTTCTGAATGTAACTGTCGTACATAAAAAGTATGAATTAGCGGCAACAAATTATTTTCTTCCTGCAGTACCAGAATATTGTGCGATTGCTGTGGCTGTAGTTTACGAATTGTTACATCGTGTTGGGCAGTTGAAGCAAATCGAATGTCAACATGAAGTAAGTTGAACATATGTTTACATAAATTTAAACATTAAGGACCACAGAATAACGATACAGTGACCCTAATGATGGAAGAAACTGACTTCTACATATCAGTGTATCGACCGAGAAACACTCAGAGTTTTAAAGTGATTTAAAGATAAATGTCTATTTCCTACGCAAACAGAGTGTAAACTTTAAATATATGAAAATTCATCGAATTAGATGTTGTAGCAGTTGATTATCTGTTGAAAGTATTTTACTTAAACTCTACTCAAATAACTGCGATCACCCAAACATGTCTTGGTGAGAGTGGCATCTTTATTCATCATCTTATACAAAACTCACAACACAGTCCTTCTCTTTCTCAAGAAATCAACCTCACTTTTGTTTGTAACTTTGCTTATCAATTAATGGTTAGATGAAGACATTATTTCTATACTTACCATCACTGACCACTGTTATGATAGACACAACTGATTACGTTATCTATATTGATAGATTTAACCACTTGTTTATCCTTCGTACCATCAGCTTGGTGGATAACTAACTTTTCTTAATATCAACATCTGGTAAAATTCCTTAATGTCAAATCTTAATATTCGTTTAAATGACTCTTCTCACTGATCACCTTAAGTAACTTTACAAATCATAAGTAAACAATCCTGTACTGGTAAATCATAACAATCGGTTACTGTTTATTAGTAATAAATTTCGGAAATTTCCTTTACTTTTTACAGCCTTATAATGACCTGTATATCTATAAATATTATCAACGATGACATAAATGTAATCTCAAAGTATCAAGTGAAAAGCTGCTGATTACACTAAAGGGAAAACAGTTATGTAATATTTCCTATACTAGTTTGTGATAAACGCTCATAAATAACTTCCTTAACTATACGGTTAAGTCTTGCGAACACGGTATAAAATATCTTTTATTATTATCTAATCATATCTTTAAAAACGTTTTCTTTCATTTCTAAGTGACACTATATATAATGAACTCATGAGAACAGTTCATAATAAAAAAACGTGTATGAATTCTTAGCCTCAATGCCTTTAAAACAATAAACAGGAAAGAGGCTTCTACTAGTAATACGAACTCCCAAACAGGTTTTAATGAATATGCCACTACATTACTTTTTATATGTGTCAGATTTGGACATCTATTTTTTCATAAATTTTCTTCTTTAAGCAGGTTTTGTTATTCTTATCTGGTCAGCAGGCTTTGACTTTGAAACTAACTTTTACGAATGCATTACACTAAGGCGTTAGACATATTGTACACTGAAGTTCTCCTTTTCATCAATTCTGAAATCATGAAAGTCATAGACAATTGCTTTCCAACAATATTTGTTTCTTCAGCGGTGCTCATTCTTATTCAAAAGACAAAGACTTATTAATCCTCCTTATTTTAATCGCATTACTGTAGAAATGTTATCATAAACTAAATTGATTGTATTTAAAATATAGCTGTAAAGTAATTTCCTGCATTTGGTTAAAACTAGATAAATATTTCATCTGTGAAAATGTAGACGAAAGTAACTTATTATCTTCACTTCTCAGTGAAAAATTACTTCATCACACAAAGCATAATAAAAAATATTTTCATAGCTTACTGAATTTATTTGGCTTTTAAGTAGAATTGTATCAGGATGAAACTTTGCGCACGTGTTTTGAAAGTTAGAAACTCTAATTCCTTAATCAGTGCCCTTTCTTCTAAGAGGGTAGAAAAAATTAAATTTTTTAACAATAAATACATTTCACAGCCATTGTATCTACATATGTCTATACTGTAGAAAGCAACTTCTTGAAACAGCTTACATGAGTACCTGAAACTTAAACTTTCATTGTCATAAGAATATGGGTAATATGAATCTTTAACACTGTATGCACCTTTCAGCACCAAAGTATCTGCAGAACTCAAGCGATGTAACAAGAGGAGAAGCTATTGTATTAGCATAATGGTTGTTTTTAAATCATTTTTATTCAGTATCCCACTTTTTAACAAGTAGTTACGACTGGAGTCCCACTGTTATTCCTTTGAAAAATAAAAATTTGTGGAACAATATATGTGACATACTTTCTCATTGGCAACTGAAGAAAAGTTATTTACCTTATACTAAGAAACAGTGTGACAAACGAAATCACTATGGTGCCTAAAAACCCAAGTTATGTGAAATACCAAAAAGCTGTTGTTTAAATTGACCTGTAGACCGATAAAAGAGAATTTGTTCAGCTAAATCTGTCGATTTGCCCATAGAATTTCACTTCTAGCTAAAAGTTCGGTTACACTAAAGATGAAATAAAGCAGTGCTAATGTCTAAATATTTAGGTTTTGGAAGTTTGTACAACACAAATGGTGAAATTTTGAACCATACTAAATTTACGACGGATTCTTGAAATATGCTTTTTTATTTTAAATGATATTAAGACAGCCATAATTGTCACTGTAATATTGAAATCGTCTACAACCTTATTAATGGATCACATTCTGACAGAATTCTGAGGAATTTGTCAGTGTTCAAATTTTTATGGTTTTCATTTGATCAAAATATTCTAGCTTAAGACAAAAAGCAGTAGTTTCTAAAAGACTGATCGGATCACACTTGAGTAGCGATTAAAACCAGCTTAATATCATTTAGAGCCAGTGTCAAAATAAAAAAACAAAGAGATTACTGTAGCAGAAAAAATATCTGTTTTTTAAACTGTTAAACAAAGGAAACTATGATAACGAAGTAGTTGTTAAGATAATCAGAAGTGCATAAATTTAGAGTAACACGGTTATCAAAAATTTTATTACATTAAACAAACTGAAGTTGTCAGATTTTCAAGTCCCAACAGCTTTTACTGTCATTTTATTTCACATCCACATATAAAAATAAAAAGTATGAAATAGTTATCATCAAAAATATGAAATCATTCATTTCCTTAATTTCCTATCCAACTACCTACAAAACAGATTCATTTAAAACCCTGTTCACTAAGTTCCATCATGAAGTCATTTGAAACACTCTAAGCAAACTAAGACCTTAACTTTGAGTGATTGAATAATCTTTTGCATTTTTTACCATCTTCAGTTATTATACAATAAACAAATATATTCAGTAATAAAATATGCTAATCAACTTTGTGAATACAAAAATGTTCAACATTGTGCACGGATCATCTTAAATTTCGTCACCATATATACATCCTGGTCCTTTTAAAACTAAGTAAATCTCTTTAGGGAGTTAAGAAACATTTTTAAACCAGTGTACTGCATAGTTCTTTTTTGCTAACCAATTCTAATAATGAAGTGAATAATGTAAAGAAAAGTGGAAAATTATTTAAAAGTTGTGTACGATCTGACGAAAATCGCTTTACACTTTTTATTTAATTGAAGTTTTGTTTCATTACTTGATTGATCTGAAACCCTTTATAACTGTTGAGATTAAGTGAATAATCACACGTAAATTTTTGTACCGGTGTAAAGCATATTCATCATGCGTTTTAGAAGAATAACCTTCTTCCTCTTCTCACATTAAATTTTATTGATCCTAATCATCACAAACATTGGACTTCGTGATAAATTTCCAATTTTTGAAAGCAATCGAACTGACAGTAAATTCTGTGGAACAGAAATAAGTAAACTATATAGCTGATGTAAATCAAAGTGTTATAAACTCAAATGCTGAAGCATTATGAGAATAGCATTTCTAGATTTTAATAAAATAGTTCACTAGTAATTTTATTGCTTTTGCAACATTTTTTCTTATTTAACTGGTCAGTCAACACTGTATTTCGATAATAAAAATTTACTAATCAACATACTAAAAACTAAACGTCTCAAACTGAGTTGCCTTAGTCTTATACTAAGTCAACAAAGTTCTTATAATATGGACAAATTAAATGAAATATAGGCTATTAGATGAATCTCCTGATAGTCAGTGATTGTAAGACAAACTATGAAGCAATTATCTACTTTCTGTTAGTGACTTGAATCATATTATTTAAAACCACCAAAGTAAAATAAATATATCAATCAGTACTAGTATTAAATAACTAGTGAATATTTATAGTTCTATTTATATTGACTATTAGAATATAACTACATGTGGATGTATAATTACCTATGTTGAAAGAAACGCGTTTCCTAAACTATATTTTCTATCAACTAAATAATACTTTTAATACTCTATAATAGATTGTATTTTATCAAAAGGATTTGTTCAATGTAACATTTTAAAACGTAAGTTAACAACATCTATTCATACATGAATGTACTTGTTTTCTTTTCCTATTTCTATTTAAAATATTAGAAAAAGGAAGAACATCGTGTGAAATGTGTTGATCGTGGTTCCATTGGCATCATTATTGGAACAGTTATAATTTGTATTGTTATGGGAGTTGTAATGTTATTGGAGATTTGGGGGAAAAAAATCCATAATTATGTGTATATCGTTCATTCAACTGAAACAAGCATACTCTTTATTATTGCATTGATATTTTGTGTTATTGGTATATGGAATACAAGAAAATTGAAATTCTCAGTGAATTTTTCAAATCAAAATTTGGATAGCAAATTATTAATAGTAACATTTTTTATAACTGTCACATTTTTAGTGGCATGTATTCTCCTCAATATCGCATTTTTATTGGGTAATGGTTTCAATAATAATGAACAACAATGTCTTAAATTACATTTATTCTCAGCACTTTTAGAGTTAATACAAGTTACAGTGCAGAATTTTTTCATAAATGATTTATTCTATAGATGTTGTCACGACGCATCATATCAACAGCGTAAACCAGGCCGTGCAATGATTGCATTATTATCAGCCATAAATTTTTCTTTATGGACAATTTATAGCTTTCAGGTAAGATGACAAGTACTTTAATTTTTGTGATCTTATTACATATAATATACATATTTTATGTCAGATATATCAGAAAGAAAATTAATGAAGCGATCATCTCCAAACAATTACGTTATATTTGGTCTCCATACAGTCATAAACTCCTATTTTGTTAGAGTAATATTTTAATATAATATAAGTCTCCACTCAGGCATTTATAAAAAGACAAATATACTTAAAAAATGTTACTTTTTAGTTAGTTCTTTATCATGGCTCTAAAGTAGTATATATATATATATATATATATATATATATATATATATATATATATATATATATATATATATACATATATATATATATATATATATATATATATATATTACACTAATAATAAACTATCAGCCAGGTGGTGAGGTTACTTATTGTAGTGACCAAAATCGCAGATGGGGACAACCAACTGTATTTTAATACGAAATTACAGAATCTCTTGGTAAGATATAAGAACCATAAATTGAATACTCCATTTTCAAATCTCCATCATTTGTGCTTCACATTCTGTATGATTCTTCAGATTTACAATTCCTTTCTTATTCTGTTTCTGTTTTCTTCAAGTCGACTTTCATAGCCTTCTACTGCCAGGGTTTCCACTTCCCATTGGTGTTACATACTACTTATGTCGACAGACTTAAGTAACATACACCACAATATTAGCACTACAACATCACGTTTATCGAATGACTAGCAAAATAACTGAAAAAAAACTAAAATGAAATAGTTAAAAAAATTCAAAGAAACATTTGTAAATGAGTCAAAATATGTCGTTAAAAGATTGGTAGACTACGAAATATCTAATAAGAGAATAGATAGCTAGTAGAATACTAATGATGATCACGGAACAATAATGACTCGAACGTTTCAGTTATGTAAGAATAAAACAGGCGAAATGAATTTCGAAAAGAATAGGTAATTAATAATTCTATTTTAATCTACTTCACTATAGCTTATATTAATGGTCCCCACCTTTTTATCTCAAAGGAAAATGGTCATTAATCTGCTAATGACATAGTTAAATGCAGCCTTCTAAGGGCTGAACTTTCAATACTTTATTTATTATTACACTTTTACTTAAGTCAACTTTGATTAATTTTTTACTGGGTTTGTACTTCGAGCTCAGTAGTTTATTACAAATATTTTATTGCTGCTCTTGAAAACATCATTAGAGCTCATTTCCACATGAAGCATGTCACAGCTGAATTTCACATCTCATAGAATACAAGCAAAATAATCTATCTGAGATGCGTATTTTCTCCATTATGTCGAAATTTTAATGGTAACAAGGATTTATCTCACTGTTAACCAACAAATACTAAACTTCTATAATGAAGCGTTCTTGGGGATCAATAAGTATAGTCACTAAAAAATATATAGAAAGATATGAAAGGGGTATAGATGTTCGGTCTTGGAGATATTTTTAACGCTGAAAACAGATTCATGGAACCACGAAGTGTACAGTTTTATCCGGGGAGTTTAAGTCATCTACTAAGGGGGAGAATACATATCAGTCAATGTAAGACAAACCAAGCTGGACGAGAGTAAGATGTGATAAGCCCAGCATACAAATTAACTCTGTAAAACAAATGACTGCTAATCTAGTTGGATTTCTTCAGATGTCAGTATCTAGTAACTGTCCAATTTATGTGACATGTATTAGCATTGACCACTTTATTTAAATTTTATTTAATATTCATGTTTTTAAAACACAGGTTTTTGATTACTCGTTTAAATTTCATTTTTAAATATTGCCTTTATCGTAGAGTGACACCTGAGAAAAACCCATTTAACTCCAAGAAGCACTAAATAGATTATCTGTACCATTTGCTTATCAATGAAAATGATAACCCACAGTCAAAGTAAAACCAAACCAGCACCTCCGACTTATAAGAATGTACAATACCGCTCGACAACTGAATTCATATCTACTGGTCCCTAATTTTTAAGCTTGATACACTGGTAAAACTATAACATTGTAAAACTAAAAGATCGTGAGCCCGATTTCCAAGTAGTCATTTTTATTCATTGCTGATAAGTCCCAAAGAAAACATCACGGCTGACTAATGCACCTAACGTTTAAGAGGTTTTATAGATTGTCAATCGGTGAAGAAAACTGAAAATGTCTTTACTTACCATTATATCAATACTTATTACTTGTCCTTTTGCGTCACTTGGATGCATGTTAAAATGAAATAATACAAACATGCGTAAGATTTTGTATATTTACATCTGTATGTTTGTTTTGATTTTTACACATAACTGTGCATCAGCGGGATGTTTCATTTGGTGCAATATTATCAGACACATCAAAATTATCATGCTAAAATAACTTCGATTTTTTCACCTGCAATTTTCCCAGTACAAAAGATTATCAGACCTCTACCATTTTATCCTTTTCCTGAACGTCAACATCACAAAACACAACTACTAAAGATCCTGGTTAGTTTTACCATCACCAAGCTTAGATTTTTTCCTTGAATCAGTTGCTCAAATGTCATATTTTAAAAGCTGTCACTAAGCATGTTTTATAAGTTTTACGATTAACATTGAAAAAGATACCATGTAATTGTTGGTCATACAGAAAACTTGGTTTGGCCATATTTTATGGGCCTGGATAATATAGTTTAGTTCAAACTAATCAACTATAAATTATCGTGTTCAGCCGACAAGAAAATAATTAAAATTGTTTTTAAATAATTGTCACTTGAAGATTCAGCCTAATGATTGTAAAATTAAAACGACCTTTGAACAGGAAAGTCTATTTTTTCCTTTAATTATTAGTGAGAATACTTCATAAAAGTTGAGCATTGTCTGAGAACTATTATCTGATGGAAGCCTATACTCAACAGACTTTATTCTCTTAGGCTGGTGTGAAACCCGATTTCCAATATCTTTATCAACTTCAGTTGTTTTACATTCTGCATCACCTAATATAAAACCTTTTTGTCTACTTCCGATTTCTATTTGAACTAGGCAAAACATAACAATATACTACTCAGTGTGAATAAAAACTATGTGCAAACAAGTGAACTTCAAAGTCTGTTCATCTACATAAATGTAGCCCTACCAATGGTTATGTTATATCGTTATCACAGTAGTGTATGCTTAGCAATTGAATATATTCGTGTATATGAAGACGAAATAACACGATATGAAAGTATGTTACGTGGAGTACCACATACTAAATTACTACCATTTGGTTCTAAATGGGAGGTAATTGAATCGCAACACCCAAATTACTCTTTACCAGCTAATTTACTGACAGTACCTAGAACCAGAGCTTTATCAGAACCTGTAGTGACATTGAATCCAAGTGCTTTTTTAAAAGAAGTTCATACACTGGATAAAAGCAACAGTACAATTCATGGAAATCATCAAAATATTTCAAGTCTAAATGAACAAGAAGAAAAACAACAAACTATAAAATCAAATAAATTGGAACAATCAAAGTCGCAAAAGTATACCAATCAAAATAAAAGACGTACAACACATATCAGTATGGAATTAGCACAATATCGTGTAAATGCAAGTGAAATGGAGCATCGTCTGGCTGAAATGAAATTAAAAAAATATAAACGTGGTAAAGACGATCACTCAATAAATGAGAAATTAACACTTAATAGATTTAATCCACATAAAGAAGCAGAGCCAACAATGTCAACTTCGTTATCCGACAGCGCATTATCTACAGTACGTACCACGGATACGATTAATGAAGATGATGATGAAGATGATGTTACTGGTGGTATGGAATGTGACGATTATGAACGACAGAATCCATCACCTGAATCATGTTATTATACTAAAACAGGGGATAGTAGTTCAGCTACATATCTTACACAAAGTCAATTATAATTTTGAAACAAAAACAATTTCTAAAATTAAATGTAAAGACATCATTCAATATAATTCCATACGTCTATGAGTGCATATTTTAAAAAAATAATTTCGAATTTGTTTACTTAAAAAAAACGAAAAATTAATTTTCTGTGATAATTTATTGATTGATATTAAAAAGCTTTATTGATTTTGTTGTTGTTGATGATGATGATGATGATGATTTACTGTTCATGATAAATTTATTATATTGAAATACTTTTTGTTGAATATTGTTTTGATTCTATTTTTTACACTTTCATTATTTTTCTCCTTCAACCTTAAACTACAACCACCATTCAACAATATCGACAACAATTTAATTTAGACAAATAAAATTGTCTTTTGTTATCTACTTTAATATTTTAATGAAACACTTTATGTGTAAATCACAATGATTAATTAAGCAACTATACCGTACAACTAGATAGCAATAAGAATATTAAGTTTTCAACAAAAATTCACAAAAATGACCCTTGTGTTTCCCTTACTCTTATTTACTCTCACCAAACTTGGCTTTTTTTCTGAAATTCATAACATTAAACACGTAGACCAAATCAAATTCCGATCACATCTTTTTATTTTGAATTTGAATTGCAATATTATTGTACTAATGATGATTTTTGTGTTTATGATTTGTTAGTGTTTTCTTATTAAAACAATATTAATAATTTCATGTTTTAAGTTTGTTCTTACTATAAATTAACGAAATGCCATCAGTTTATGGTCTATTCATCAAAGTTATATGTGGAATAAATTCATGTTAGCTTTCGGTATTCCATCTGCTTCTGAAATACTTTCATAGCTCAGAGATAGCTGTTAGGAAGAGACAAGAAAAAAAATCTCACGTCGTAACACCCTAATGATTTATTCTTTACATTCCCAATGGACATATACTAAACAGTTGTACCGTGACAGTTTCATGAGTTAGCATTTGTAAGATCTATTTAGAATCACATATTGTTGTTATACCTTAGTCTGTTCAAAAGTTACTGTCAACTATAAATATGTTACGATGTTTTATGCAAAACATTTTGTAGTTATGTACCTAGTGAGATTTATAAATTACAGGAAAAATAAGAAAGTTACAAGTTTAACAGAAAACTGAATGATTTATTATTTAGAGTGAGTTTAGTTCTCGCCATTCATATCTAAATTCATCTAAAGTCATGCGAACTCCTGGCAGGTGTTATTTTATCAGATACTAACCATTCCCTTCACTCTTATCTTTCTCCTTGTATATCTTCTGGTAGAACGAGACGTAATTACATTAAAATCCATGCACGCAAGGAAAAGTATAAAAGTTCTATAATACCTTACCTAGCAAATATACTCTGTGACGAACAGGTTGTTAGAGTTAACCTAGTCAATAACGTGCATTCTTAACATGTCTCTAATTTAAAAAGTTTTACAGTTTTTCGGTTGTTTTTTTTTCAAACCTTTTCTTTTCTTTTTTTGTCTTTGTTACTATTTTTTGCGTAAGTAACTTGTTGAAATCCCCTGTGCTGAGAATTCCATATTGTACCAAAACATAATATTAAATAAAGCCATTAATAATAATCAATAATAAATCATAATAATTAATAATAATTAATTAATGTAAGCTAGCGAGTGTTAGATTTAAATGTACTGGGTACCTAAATATCGTAATAGAAGCCTGCCTGTTATGTTCACCAATTCGAACTCAAGACTGAAGATAGAAGCAGGGATAAATATATATGATCCAACATGAGTTAAGATTATCTCGACTTCAATTCAGTATTAATCGTCCCAGTAAATGCGTAACATTGGTCACATTTTAGGACACTGAGCTATAGCCGAAATTTTACAAACGTGTTAAAGAAAAATTACTGCAGGTTTCTGATTGATGAATAATCTCGGATACTAATTAACCTTTAGTCATAACTATCCCTCATAAGCCAGTGGCTGACGAATTTTCGGAATGTATACAATAAGCTCATCTGGTCACTTCATCGAACATGAGTAAGTGATCAATTAATAAGGTCGATGCACACTTATTTTAGAAACGCTATCAACATCTACTGAAATGTTATTAAATATAGATTCCTGGCAATCAGTCGATACGTAAATGACTTTTCATTGTTACACAAGATTTCGCTATGAATCGGGTTCAATTAACTTTAAACTAATCATTTAGTATATCAACTAGACTATCCAATTCATTTTTTGAGATAGATCTATGAGATAACAATAATGGGGTAATAAGTTCCAAAAGTTGAAAGTAGACTCTTTATTGAACGTTTAAAGTATTGAACATTCTATTGGCCGTAAAGACAAAGAAACAGGCAGTAAATTGATGGAATTTCAAAACCTTAAAAATTTAATTCTCCATTTCGTTACTCGCCTTTATTAATATACGCCTTTTCTGATGGATAACATTTTGATGGTTGTCCTTACTTATAAGCTCTTTTATTAATGTGAACTGAGGAAGGGAAGGAAAACCCAGGGATTTTAAGTCCATTGTACTTAATTAAATAAGTGAAGGGTGGCAAAAAATGGCAAAATCGGTGATAAACAGTAGTTTATGTTTTTTATAACTGCAGAAATAAACAAACATGGGAAGTCAATGAAAACAGTGGCGAAGTAGAAAAGGTTCACACTAACAAGGGCTTGAGAGAAAGGATGAGCAAAAATAGATGTCACTGAAAAGGGAGCTGTGGTGTTGTCTTAAGTTGACTTCCTGTATTCTGTTTACTCATGCAGTAAAAAACATGGTTTGAGGTTTATTACCATTTAGCCATTTTTTCCCACCCTTTACTTTATCAATCAGTTATAACAAACCATTGAAATCCCTGGGTTTTTCTCTTTTTTGCCTGTTATGTCATAGGTGTTGTGTATAACCTCAACGTTCCAATCGATTCTTTCCTCTGCCTACCTTTCTAATGGCTCTTAACCAATGGATGCTTAAGCAAAGGTTTGTTACAGATTTTCAAAAGGTAGCCCCAGCAATCGAGCTAACTGTGCGCTTTCCGCCGGTGTTTTACTTTCTCTAAATTCTCCTGGGCTCAGACGACAACCTCAGGAACTATTAAGGAGTCAAACCATAGGCTGAAGATGGTTGCATACAAGCAATAGCATTTCAATTTTCTAGTAACTTACGAACCTCCATATCGTATACCTGCCAGAAAATGCTCCCTGGGTATTATTTCGACTGTAAAGTTCTGGCAACTTTTTTCCCTAGAATTTACTGGTATCCACTGTAGAATCATCATGCAGCTCTTGGTGTCTGTTTGTGGCTTACACCATGTTAACAGATCATACCCGATAAGTAAACTTCATTATGTCATTCACCCCGTAAAATATCTGATCCAGATTGTTCATCTCACCTTCTCATAAATATTATATTGCCCTCACAGTTTTCATGACGGCACTGTTTGCCATTCAAAATCCTGCGTTTGATGCAGCTGCAACATATGTTGACATTGTCGCGCCAGTGTAAAAAATGATGTCGACCACCCCCGTGTCTTCTAAACCCACATTATTTCCCCTTGAACGATCACACTAGTGGCAGACAGGTTATTACTAATAAATTAGCACTGCCTACTTTCATCACACACGACATTACATAATAGGACTCAATCTGTTTAATTTTTCTGCGGCTCAGGCACGATAGTCTCGCCCCCATTCACCATGTATTGACCTGTAGTGGATATTGGCACACATTTTCATATGATTAATTGGGTTTAGAGCGAACAGCATCACAAAGGTTTATTAACGCTTTTCTTCGGGATACTGACAGACTCAACAAATTCAAGACAGCCCTCAGCAGTAAGTTCCAGTCCTTTCATGATCTACTCAATGTAGAGGGGACTTCCATGGAGAACAACTGGAGAGGGATCAAGAAGGCAATCACTTCAACATGTCATGAGTTTTTGGGCCACAAGAAGCACCATCACAAGGAATTAATAACTGTTGATACACTGGTTAAGATTTGTGGAAACAGACCTAATAAACCTATTTTGTAAATAGATTTTCATATATTTGGCATTTATTTTGCCAATTCTCACCATCTGTACATTTATCATTAATCGATTGCACTTGTTGTTTAAGTATATGACCTTGAATACTTACATTCTTCCTTCCGTTTTTGAATCCCACATAGCATAACACTGTTAACTGCTCATAATTAAATACACTTTTATACATATGTCTCTCGTTCTATCATGTTTGTGGATATGATAACGGAACGATTAATTAACTATCATCTATATTTATAGACTGTTGTAACGTTCACATTACCTTGTAGCGTGCTATCGAGTCGTGATTGACTATGAACACCACTACAAGAAAGCGTGTACCAGAAAAACCAGAAGGCGAAGATGGGGCGTAACTAGATTTATTTCGTTGGCGATCTCGTGGTATCGAATGAATACTTAGATCGTGCCAAAAGGAATACAAGCGGAATTAGTGGGCGAGAGTACAAGCGTACAAAGTCACAGTCCACAGGAAAGTAATGGAGAGTAATGGAGTAGTGATATGGCTGTCTTTAGCACAGTTAAACAAACGAGCGCAGTAAAACAATCACTGGTACAATTGGTTATAATAACGATTGTTTCCGTTAAACCCATCGCGTTCTCTTGATAAAAGTAGGTCACTACAACCTTCTACGTTCGGATTTACTACTGGAGCCATATCGTCTCTTTGGAATTATTATTTACCTATAATTGTGGATTCTGGTACCAAAACCAACAAGACATGCGCCAGCCTGCTGATTTAAATAACGTCCCTAAACTTTTATTTGTGTTATTATCTTATGTGTTGTTTATTGCTACATTAACTTTTAGACGTAATAACTTTATTGCTGTTTTTCGGTTAATATATTTTTGGTCCACCACAGATTCAAGAAAGGGCGAACAAGAAGGCAGCAATCAATACTAAACGAACAAGAGAAGAGAAAGCTAAGGCACAAGCTGAATACATCAAAGTAAACAAGCAGTTAAAGGGAAGCATCAGAACCGACAAACGTAAATATGTGCAAGATCTAGCAATGACGGTGGAAAAGGCTGCAAGAGGAGGAAACATGAGACAATTTTATGATACAACAGAGATGCTCATCATAAACCAGGACGACCTGTGAAAAGCAAGAAGAATAAAGTAATCACCAACACTGAAAAACCACGAAACAGGTAGGTAGAGAACTTTAAGAAACTCTTGGATCGACCAACTCCACTGAACCCACCAAACATCTAAGCAGTACCCATGGACCTCCCAATTAATGTTGGCCCACCAACAACTGGAGAGACCAGCATGACCACCAGGCAAGTCATGAGCAGCAAAGCAGCGGAAGCACTGAAAGAAGTTGTAGTGGTAACTGCAGAGATACTCAACATTATCTTCAGAAAGATTTGGGATGAAGAACAAGCACCAACAGACGGAAAAAAGGACATGTGATCAAGATATGAAAGAAAGGTGATCTCAGCAAGTGTGACAGCTATAGGGGCATCACTCTTCTCTCAGTAACAGGGAATGTTTTCAACAGGGTATTGTTAAACAAAATGAAGGACTTCGTAGACTTTGAGACTAACAGGCTGGATTCTGTAAGGATCGATCGTGTATCGACCAAATCGCAACACTACAGGTCATTGTGGAACAATCAATTGAATGCAATTCATCACTTTACATCAACTTCATTGACTACGAGAAAGTATTTGATACCATGGA